CCCCCCCCCCCCCCCCCCCCGGGCGGGGGGTCCGCTGTGGTCCCCCCCCCCTTCCGGAATCCCTGGGGTGGGTGAGACACAAAATTAGACGGCATCTCTAAAGCTGCAGTGGATCCCCGCTCCTCCTGCTGCCTCCCCAACTCACCTACAAGGCTCCTCTCTCTTCAGCTGCTCCCAAGACCGCCCCTGCAAATCAAATGGGGAAAGGCTCAAACACTCAGCTCTCAAACATTTAGGGATGGCTCACAAGGAAAGCCAAAAACCTCTAAACCCTAGACACTCTTTGCTGCTCTACCTAGCCGGGACTCTGTACACCCAAGCAGGGCATCGCAAGACCATCCTGCTCACCGACTGGACAGCCATCGGCTCCACTGTCTAAGGGAACTGACATGGTGATGTGAGACTGAGCAATATTCCATCTACCCACTGATCCACGGAGCAGGGCAGAGCAGTTCCAGGCTGACCCCAAGTGAGACACCCCACACCTGTGATGACACACACCACGTGACACAATTGAGAGACGAAGGACACAAAACACGGACGAGACAAAGGACGTGACACAGACTGGAACTGCTCTGCCCTGCACACGGGAATCCAATGACACAAAGTAAGCCCTTCCTCTGATGTCTCCAAATAACCTGTGCCAGGATACCTCTTGCACCACACTAATTACAAAAATCCCTCCAGGCAATGCACAGACTTGCACCAACTCCCAGCCCCTCTCTGGGTCTTTGCCCTGCACTTATCTTGCCAAGAGCCGGGCATGCCAATCCATCTTTGATGCACAGGAGGGGCACCTGGGCTGGCTCAGAGGTTCCTGTTGTCGTGAGAATACTGGGAGTCAACTGCGAGAAAGAAAACCAGACACCATATCTCAGTAGCGTGGCACGTGGCCCCACACCAAATGATCCCTCTACTCGCTCTCACCCAGGCAGGTCCTCGGGTCGCTGGCTCTGACCACACTTGGACAACGTCTCATCTTCTGGGATACCTGAGCGAGAGAGAGACACAATTAGAGGGCATTTCTGAAGCTGCAATGGATCCCTGCTCCTCCTGCTGCCTCCCCAACTCACCTCCAATGCCCATCTGCTCCCAAAGGTTACGAGGATGGCACCTGCAATCAAAAAAGCTCAATGCTTCATTGCTGATCTTTTCAATACTCGGAGATTACCTACAAGGACAGCTCGAGGGGACCAAACCGTGTCTATCACCTCACTGTGAGTTGGCTTCAGCCCTGTCAGGCTGTGTACATCTCCTGCAAAAAAAACCCCAGAGGCAAATGTGAGCACTGAGATACTGCCCAAGAGTTTGCTGCTCCCATGGCAGCATCTGTCTGACACCCCTTGACCGTGACCTCTTACAGGGAGGGTCCCCATAACGTTGGACTGCACGTTGGAAGTCGGTGCACTGCCTGGAAAACAAAAAAACAAGGATGTACACAGATTCCCCACAAGTACACCGCCTGCAAAAGAGCAGCTAGTTGTGTCCTGCAGTCACTGCTCACCTTCCTCACCGGGCTCACCTTCCCTCTGGTGCCTATCGTCTGCTGGGCCGAGGGCTCTGCATCTTAAAAAAAACTAAAAGAAAAATAAAAACAACCATCAAGTAAACCTAGGGCCAAAAGTCATGTCTTGACTCTGACCTCACATGAAAACCCACCTTCTGACTGGGCTCCTCCAGCCTATTCTGTTCATCTCTGCTTTACATCCAGTCCCTCTGATGCTGCAAAGAAATGAGTTACCAAAGTCAGCCATATAGATGGAGGGACCTTAACTGCTGTGCAATTCTAATTTCTCCTCAGACAACCTGCCTGGAGTCCCAAGACAACCAGCACAAACAAACACTGCCCTAACTTTAAGGCCCTGCCGTACCCCCCTTCCTACTCCACCTACCCCCAAGTCTACACTGCAGGGCAGAGCAGTTCCAGGCCCAACACAGACGCCAAGGACACAT